ATTCAACATCATCTGAAGAATGTTTCTTTTACATATTACTTATTGGTCCTGTTTTAGTCTTTAAATGATTTACTCTGTGGTGAGCTACTTCCAATTTATCTCACTGAAATTCTATTGTTTTATCAGGTGAGGAATTTCCTGACAAGAAGCCTAAGGTACAATTAGTCATATCACACGAGGATGCGAAGCTGACCATACTGGTGAAACACATGAAAAACATTGTAAGTTTATTGTATATAATAAAAAACATATAACCGTACATTTATAAATCACTTGCCTCCTTTGGGCTATTAGTGTCAATGTTAGAGGAATAGGTCTAGCGACAAAATTTAATTAGGGAACGGTGAACTAATTACAATGCTTTTTGCCTCGGTATGATTGTGATCCTTGGGGTAAAGACTATTAAACATTTCTCAGGGAAAGTTCTAGAATTAACATTGGACTTTATTCAAAATAAAGTGTTCAGGAAAAACCTAGTGAAAAGGCTCTGAGAAAGCTGGAATAGCTGAAAAGATTAAGGGCTAAAAAGAAAAAGACTGGGTCCCAGAAAATCTCAGCTATCTCATTGTGCTGAGCTTGGTGGAGGATGGACTCTATCTCTGCACGGTTCCAGTAACTTCTCTGTAAAGCCAAGAATGCTTAGGTTCCCCCCCCCAATTCCCATTATACCTCTAGTTTATACTATCATATTCTGATGTAATTGCTTATGTCTATTTCTTTTTCTCAAAAAGTGATACGTTTTGGAGAACAGGAACCCCATCTTTGCATCCCCAGAACCCAAAGCAAATCTTTAGTTAGCCTCTAAGGAAAACTAAAAGCTCCACTCTATTACACCCCACTCAAGGATGGGGCGTCAGAGGCAAGGGTGGTCATTAGGCCATGTCATTAGAAAGAGAGAGAAGAGGCTTCTACGTCACAGTGTAAGTGATTAACGATCTTAGCCTGGGTGCAAGAAATAGGAAAGGGTTGCTCTAAACCCTACCAGCTCTTCCATTTTCCTCAAGTCTCATCAAAACAGGTCCTCCATACAGTGTAACTCCCCAGGAGACTACACTGGCTGTGAAAAAGGAACACAATTTTGGCTCTTCTTTATGTATATAAATCTCTCAAGATGTGTTTGGAAGGATCTAAAGGAGTAAACTCGTTTCCATATGACAAGCATCTGGAATACACTAGAACTTAATAAATATTTGTTCAGTGAACAAATAATTGGCATAATTTTTAGGGGATACATTTTTTACAAACTTTTAGAATTAGCCAGACATCCAAGAATGTTTGTTTGTAAATCCGTGGTGTTCACAATCAGCAATATTTGTAATAACCCGGGCAAATATTTTTAAATGTTTTTGTAGATCTCTCCCTCATTAAAATAATTATTTTTCATCACTTTTCATAAGATAATCAAATTAGAATAGCAGTTGTTTAAGAGACTCCAATTAGATATTATTTATGGCTACATGCATGTTCATGGACTTTAAGCCTCTGTATAAACATATGATAAAACAGTAGAATATTAAGAAATACTGCTAATCAAGTAAGCAGAACTTACATATGTATGTGATATATGATTGTTAGTCTGGAAAATAGCCCTCTTGGAAGCTACATCTTTATCCCAGTAATGTTGTCTTCACTGCAAACATTTTAGAGCATGCCTGTTGAAATCACTTTTAAATCTGGCACAGAGTACAGTTGGTGACGTTACTCCATGGTCACACCTAATTTTTGATCAAAAGGATTATTAACCAACATGGTCACCCATTTCATTCACCAGATGCATCTTCAAATTACTTCTGACAGTTGTCAAAAACGTATTTTACACTTAGATAAAGTTGCACTACCAGTGAAGATATTCAAAATGAACGTGATGCACGCATGAAAGGAGGGGAGTGAGTGAGAAAGAGCAAGAGTTTAAGATTGAGGTCAAGATATGGACAAATAGCAAATGACCAAATGAATCTTACACAAAGTGAAATCCACTTGGGGCCACTAGAGCCTATACACTGCCAATGCCATCAAAGTGATTAGTAATGCAATCATACTTCTTCCAGTGCCATTTCTCACTCTACTTGCTGGTTCCTCTCTTCTCCCCAGTCCTTACCATTGAGAGATTTCAGTGCCCTGATATTTACTTCACCTTTTCTACCTCTAACCTTTCAATAGCACTTACATGTCTTTCTCTTCCATATCTACAACCCCAATTTGGAACTGTCCCCTAAAATCTGGAGTTGTATATACAACTGATTACCCAACAACTCTGGTAGAAATTCGATAGGTATCTCAAACTTAATATGCACAAAGTCAAACTCTGATGCCTTCCCCCAACACTGCTTCTTTTGCAATCTTTCTCATCCCAGTAAATACCACCTTCATCCTACTTATTCAGGATAAAATCTTTACTAGAAATTCGATAGGTATCTCAAACTTAATATGCACAAAGTCAAACTCTGATGCCTTCCCCCCAACACTGCTTCTTTTGCAATCTTTCTCATCTCAGGAAATACCACCTTCATCCTTCTACTTATTCAGGATAAAATCTTTACAGTCATTTTGACTCCTCTTCTTCTCCCACAAGCTATGTCCATTTTATCAGCAAATTCTGTCAGTCCACTTTCAAAATAAATCCAGAATCTCACTACTTTTCACCTCCACTGCTACTACCACTGGTTCAAGCCACCATCATCTCTTACCTGAATGACTGCAGTAGCTTCTTAACAGTTCTCCCCACTTTGCTCTTATTTCTTTATAATCGCTTCTTAATCTAGCATCCTAAATGTTCCTTTGAGAATAAAAGTCAGATCTTGTTATTCCTCTCTTCACGTCACTTTGAGGAAGGAGTCTCATATCACTTACAATGAAAGCCAAAGTTGTTATTTATGACCTATGAGGCTCTTCCAATCTTGCCCCCTTGACCTCTCCAACCTCATCAACTGCGGACTCTCTCAATCACTCCACTCCAGGCTCAGAGACTTCCCTTACTGTTCTTTGAATATGGCAGGCATGTTGCTGCTCCAGGACCTTTGCATCTACCGCTCCATTTATCTTGAATGCTCTTCCCCAGGCTCATGGCTTAATATTCTCTACAGCTCGATCTTACATGTCCTGAATATCACCTTTTCAGTGAGGTCCTCTCTCACTCCCATACATAAAAGTGCACCACCACCCTTGTTTCTTGTCATTTACAATCTTTTTTTTTTCTACTTAATTTTCTTCCCTGCTCTGTATCACTGTTATAACCCAAAGTGTTAAAAATAGTGCCAAGTACATAGAAGGTACTCAATGAATACTTTGTTAAATGAAAGACTGTCAAAGTGCTTCTCATGTCAACAACGGAGAATTTGGATTTTTCTCACATTCCAAAAATCATCACAACAAAGCTGTCATGTATTGCATTTTTCACAACTTCCTTAAAATGACTATTTTATTTCTTCTGCTAATCTGAAAATAGAGATAACAGTTTAATATAAATGACTTAAAATCCATCTACAAATTCTCAACATATTTTCTTTGCTCATTTCAACTTTTAGCTAATTATTATTTATTTTTTGAGTCTTTTGTATGTTCATATGCCAAAGTAATCAGACTAAAGAAGTTGTGTTTGATTTTATATTAATATTAAAATGAATTATTATGCCTATAATTCTTTTATATTTAAAATAAAGTTTGATGAAAAGAATTGTTTATCTTATATTAAATCTTTGAAGCTTTGTTCTAAGAATTACTTCCCTCCCATGAGATCAGAGCTAAAATAATATTGCTAAAATTCTTTTCCTTTCAAAGTAGCACAACATGATTTACTCTAGTGAACAGAGACTAACGAAGTACTGCAGTTACCTAGAAGCTTGGCCAAAATTAAAATAATATTTCAGTTTATATGACAAAGAAACATGCAAAATCATTTAGATTTGAAACATTTATAAAAAATCTCTCTAACACTTTATCATGTGTCCCACTTTGAAATGCTGTATCCTATTGACTTCTGCAATGTCTCTCTACGCATTATCCCTCTAGTCTGTGTGATTTCTAGGCTATTTTCCTTCCCCCGCTTCAAAATATGAGCATTCCAGAAGGCTCTAAACATAATCAATAGGATGAAACTCTCTTTTACTATTGAATTTAACCACATTATCGCAGTCTATTACATTGTAACAATGAAAAATTATTTTAAATGAGAAGAAAGTAATGTTTGGAAAAACAGACAACACCTCAAATATGGTACTATTAATCATTTCATAAGACACAAAATGGGAGAAAATAGTTGCTATATGAAAATTAATAGAATTCTGTATTATACTGTAATTGTGAATACATGACATTATGCATTTGGCAAAACCCATACAACTGTACAACACAAAGAAGCAACCCTAATGTAAAATTTGGTTTATAATAATGTATCAATATTGCTTTATAATTGTAACAAATGTATCACAACCAATGTAAGATGTTAACAATAGGAGTACTTACTGCTAAATTTTTCTGTAAACCAAAATTGCTATAACAATAAAGTCTATTTAAAAAAAAAGAAAGAAAATTAACAGCATAGAGAAAGAGTTGAGTCAAACACAACAACAAGAACCCCAGGCTAAACACACACATACAAAGACACAAATAAACTTTTATTACTTTTTATTTTATATTTTAAAAATTTCTTACAATTTTAATGTCTATGAATGTAACCTAGGGATTCTTGTTTTTTAAAATACAGGTTCCTGGGTATAACTCCCAGTGATTTTGATTCTGTAGTGTGGACTGGGATATCTGCATCTGTGTTGGATAGGCATCTCCTGGTCTCATGAATTCCTGTGCTCTTTTATTTCTGGACTTGTTTTCCTCTACATTACTGCAGAATATGAGCATTCCAGAAGGCTCTCTGATGCAAGTGGTTCATGGACCATACCGTGAAGAAGACTTCTTAAGTGGCTAGTTACCCTTATTTCCCAAATGGCACTCTACATACAATGTGAGTTATGTACTTGGCACCAAGTCAGTTGTGGCGCCTGTCAGAGTAGAACAAAGACAACACTTGGACTTGGCAAAGACAACAGATCAGTGCTGTGAAAATAAAGCATGAGTAATGGCAATGTTTGACATATAAAGATAAGAAAACAACACTTTGTGTATCTTTTTAAAACTAACTTGCCTAAGATCTCTGACTATCCCAGCTCTTTCCAATTTTTTAAAATCTAGATTCCTAAAGGAAATCTGTCACTGTTACACCCTAGAT